AAGGGAAAATTCTGCTGCTCCAACCAGTCACTTCTGTGTTCTGTGTTTCCCCCCAGCTCCGCAGGCCACATCCTCAGCCCCTCAAACCACAGGCCTCCGGCCCAGGGCAGCCCATAGCCAGGGCGCTCTCACACACACCCGTGGCTGGGTACAAGAGCAGAACTGAAACTTCTGGGGCTTGAGGGGGCGGGGCCAGTGCCCAGCTGAGCCCCTCCCCCGCCAAGAGAACCCCCTGCAAGAGCTGCCAGGCCACTATCTGCTTCCGACTGGCTCCCCACCTCCGGGTGGAGAAGTGGGCGTTGGAGAATGCAACTTGGCGTTCTATTAATAGTAATCGCCAACCGCCCACACTGCCCTTAAATCTCACCACAACCCTATGAAACGGGTCTGGGTATTCTTCTTCTTATGCTACAGATGAGGAAACTGAGCTCTGGGGAGGTTAAGTGATTTCTCCGATGACAAAGAGCTTGTCTGTAATAAAGCCAACTTTGAATCCAGGCTGCGAAGCATGACCACACATCTAACCCCTACTCCACACGGTTGCTAAGCCAAAGACCATTAAATCTCTAACCAAGGTTTGGTGTCTGCTCAGCCTGTCAGAGTGTAGACAACGTGTCTGTCCCATACAGGGCGTGCAATTGGGGGGTGAGATTTCTCCCTCACAGACATGACCCTTCGCACACAGTAACAATCAGAACTGAGTAAACTCAAGCCAGCGGAGATGCCTCATGTAAAGGAGATGGCCCAAGAGGGAGACAGACAAACACAGGACAGTTCTTTTCCTTTAATACATTTCTGTGTGCCACAGTGAGGAGTGAACCCATGGGCTGCCGCTTTAAAACATACACAGCACCTAGGACTGGTGTTCAAATACCTTGGCCCCACTCTCATTTTCCTTCTCAAAGATTTTCTATTAAGGCATTTGACCACACAGTGAGCTCAGACAGCAAGGGGTGTGCCTGGAGCCCCCAGTGTGCAGAAGGCTGGGAAATAATTAAAAATCAGAATATACTCCAATTCAAAACCAAAAGGCATCTCCATCGATGCCCTTGTGAAAATCGTGTGAGCTGACAAATTAATGAGCCAGTTGCCTGGGGTGAAGTCTGCCCTTCACCTGTGTAATTACCAAGAAATGAGAGCGACATCGGTGTGTCCTCTGGATGAGCAGAAGATAGTGATTTCGGCCATGAGTGGGGTCACGAAGGACACAAGAGTGCTAATGCACTGGGGCCGAGGCAGGAACAGCCCAGGCCCTTGGGTCTGGGAGCTTCCGGCTCCAGGGCAAGCAGGCAGGCAGGAGATACAGAGTGATGACCCCTCCAGACAGGGACAGGAGATGAGGAACATTTACTGAAGGAGTGCTATGTACCACCCCCCAGACCGGGCATTTTATATATATTTTCTCGCTTAATGCCAGAATCATCCATGGGCTTTTCTGCTTAGACGGGGTGATGTGTCCATGGTCCAGCCTTGCTGTACAGAATGATACAGGCGTGACCGCCATTACTGCGGCTCTCAGCCGGCCACGTGTGAGTGACACAGACAAGATCAACCAAGAGCAAAAAAGGAACCTCACTACCTTAACATTTTGGCCTGTTAACCTTACAGTCTTTATTCTCTATAAATATTTTCTGTCCGTTTACCAATACGGGCTTACGCTGCATGTGTTGTCTGATGCCCGCTTTTTAACTCAGACGCTGTTACATGGTCATTCCGCATTCCTGTCCAGTCTCAGTCCAGCACTTACAGAGCACACAACTGGAGGGACTCCCACCCACCCTTTTATCAACCCGCACTTGTAAGATGTCTAGGTCCCCTTTAAGTTCCCGTGTTTTTAAATAATGTTCTGCTGAATATTCTTATAGACCGAGCACTGCAAAAGTGATGCGATTTTTTTTTTTTAAAGGTAAATTTCTAGCATGAAAATTGGTGGGTAAAAGGATAGACACATTTTTGAAGTCCAGTTTATTGAGGCATAATTCACCTACAGCAGAACTGGGCCTTTTCACGCATACACTTCTTTGATTTTGGATGAATGGCTTCGGTCACTTGACCACCGCTGCAGTGATGTTCTGTAGCACTTACTAGTAATTTAAAGCTTTTGATGCATGTTATCAAATTGTTCGCTAGTAAATTTACACCTATTCCCACCTTCTGTCAGCCCGTGAAAGGTGAACATTGGATTTTATTCTTTTAAGAAAAAAATTTAAGATTTCCCAATTTGGTAGGTCAATGTTTCCATTTTGTTTCATTACATTTATTTGATTACTAACGAGATGGTGTATTTTTTCGTGTTTATTCTCTGGTTTTATGTCTTGTAGTGTGAATTCGCATTTATATCGTTGGCTTATATGTCTGCCAACTACTTAATTCCACTCTTTCTTACCTATTTGTAAGAGCTGTTGGGGGCCGGTAATGAAAGAAGTGATTTGTCGTGTTGCAAATGTGTCTTCTCTTGCTGTTTGTTTTTTCTGTTGTTGGTTATAGCTTCCCCACCTCCAGTAACATTTCGATAATCTCGCCACCTTTGCCTTAGAAGACTGCACCTTGGAAAGTGATCTTCATAAAGGCCTTTCCCACTCCATGATTATTTACATGTTTACCAATTTCCTAGGAAAGAAATTGACCTAATAGTTACAGTAAGAAAAAAGATGAAATGTAGCATATTTAATCTTTAATGCATCAGGAATTTATTTTCGCATATCACATAGGATAAGCTTTGTCACCCAAATGTTGAGCTGATTGTACCAGTCCCATTTATCCAATAATAGATCTTCTCCTCACTAATTGGAGAAGTCACCTTTGATATATATTACATGGACATTTAGTCAGATCCGTGTGCTGAACTTTTCCATTCTCGTCTACACAATGTCTTCTCTTTTTCTGAGGAAAAGAATAGGTGCTATTTCCCACAGTTTTAAATACCATAGTTTTAGAATATGTTTTAGCATCTGGCATGCCAAGAACTGGTTTTCATTAACGTCCTTGTTCAAAATGTTCTCTCTGGGCCTAATGGTTCCAGGTAAACTTAAAACCATATCTAGGTTTTAATATCCAATAGGAATTTTTGTTGAAATTTCATCGTAGATGAACTTGAGAAGAATTTGTGACTTTATAATAAGCAGTTTTCTCTCTGAGGATCATGCTACATCACTCCACGTGTTCAAGTTTCCTTTTCTATTTCTCAGTAAATTTTCACATCTTTAAAAACAACGGGCTCTGCGGGTTTTGTGTATGCATTTATCCCAGGAGTCATGGGGTGGGGTTGGTTTTGTTGCTGTTATTCACAGCATTTATCTTTTCACTCTACTTTCTAACTGGTGGTTCCAATTTATAGCATCCTATGTATTTTATCAAAAGCCATTTTTTTCTTTTTTCAAGATTTTATTTATTTATTTGACAGAGAGAGAGATCACAAGCAGGCAGAGAGGCAGGCAGAGAGAGAGAGGGGAAGCAGGCTCCCTGCTGAGCAGAGAGCCTGATGAGGGGCTCAATCCCAGGACCCTGAGATCATGACCTGAGCCGAAAGCAGAGGCTTAACCCACTGAGCCACCCAGGCACCCCTCAAAAGCTATTTTTTAAAGATTTTATTTATTTCTTTGACAGGCAGAGATCACAAGTAGGCAGAAAGGCAGACAGAGAGGCAGGCAGAGAGGCAGGGCGAAGCAGGCTCCCTGATGAGCAGAGAGCCTGATGCAGGGCTCGATCCCAGAACCCTGAGATCATGACCTGAGCTGAAGGCAGAGGCTTAACCCACTGAGCCACTCAAGTGTCCCTCAAAAGCTATTTTGATAAAAACTAGTTGCTATGGTATTTTTGCTTTTTTCCCTTCGGTGTTCCCAGGAGACAGTGAAGTTATTTGTAAATACTAACAAGTTTACCTTTCACATTACATTTTAGTTACACATTAAGTGACATGTTAATTTTAAGAAATTAGAAGCAGAGGTCACCTGGCTGGCTCAGTCAGTCGAGCATGCAATTCTTGATCTCGGGGTTGTGAGTTTGAGCCCCACGTTGGGTGTTAGAGATTACTTAAAAATAAAATCTTTTAAAAAAATCAGAAGTGGGTTTTAATACAGTACCTTACGATGATCCTTGCAATTTGGGAATAAATAGTCTTTGGAGATGTATATTATTCGTTTAGCATTTTACTCTGTATTTTATTTGAAATATTTCTATCTGTAATCATTAAATCCCGTTTTCTTTAACACGCTATCTTTGCCAAGTTACAATATTAGGGCTGGGTGGTTCTCATACTGCAAAATTGAGAACCTTGCAATTTCTTCTCTACTTCGGGACCCTTTAATTGGCATAAGCCCTTAGCCTTGCTTCCCAAGTGGACCCAACTCACCTATCTCATCTGCTCGAAGGCTTTTGGAGGAGGTCCAGCCAAAGCATTGGCTTAATGCCCTCTCTCTCACTCAGTATCCAGCATTTGTACTAAAATTCCCACATTTATTCAACAGTCTGAGCGTCAGCAAAACGCTAATACATCTGTTTTCTTAGACTAGGACAAATTGTAAAATAAAGATGAAAACAAAAATCTCCCAACACCACATTGCCATCGTTTCTCTGGATTCCGTGAGCCGTTGGCAAACACTTAGGCTTACATCAAGTTTACTGCTTCCAGTATGGTGTTCAAAAACGGACTCACCCCTGTGCAGAGCCTACACACATTTCTACCCTCAATGTCCTAGGACAGAAATGGACGTACAAGGTAGAGTAAGAAAAAAGATGAAACGTAGCCTATCAGTTAATTTTCCTGGAGCCCAGCCGGACCCTGGGTGACAACACCAACGTGCTTCAGAGGGTATAAACACAGTCCTACGTTCTCATCAAGGCTTCCATCTGAGGCGGGGGACCTGCCCTCTTCGTGACGGCTTCCACCCAAGAGGACAGGATAAGGCCGCGTAAATTCCAGGACAGCCCCGTGGCCTTCGGCCCACTCAGTTATCGCAATGAGGCTAACAGCACTGTCTTTTCCTTTTTCCTTTATGCAGGACGTGTGTGTCAAGGCTTACCTCGCCCTTCGTCACCACACAAACCTGCTGATCATCCTGTTCTCCATGATGCTGATGACGGGAATGCCCCAGTTAACCAGCAAAGAAGATATCGAATATATTCGGGACGCCCTAACAGTGGGGAAGAACGAGGAGGAAGCTAAGAAGTATTTCCTGGATCAGATCGAAGTTTGCAGAGACAAAGGATGGACGGTGCAGTTTAACTGGTTCCTGCATCTTGTTCTGGGCATCAAACAAGGAGAGAAGCACTCCGCCTGATTCTCCAGGCTAGAACGCAGAACCAGTGAGGGTCCTAGAGCTTTAGGTCAGCACGTCCGTCATCGAACTCGGATCTGAAAGGTAACAGGACATCACAAAGGTTGGCATTTCAGAAAGACAGCCCCGTTGCTAGCTGGACTCTTCGCTGGAGGAAAATACTGGCATGTCACATTGTCTAAGTCACGTTGGGTTTTAGGCTTATGCCCAGGTTTGTTTTTTCTCTCATTCGCCTCAGTGATGTCGGAGAACAATCTAAGTTTAAACGTCTAAGTTTAAACAAACTAATTACTTCCTCATGGTGCCTGCTGATTGGATTATCTCGTCATTGAGTGCTTCTCGAGAATAATTGGTGACATGTCTTTTCATCTGGGTTTACCCTCAATTTTGGTTATTCTTGCGTTCCTCAAGCCCTTGAGAGAAAATGATGTTATCACTGTACCTTTCTCTCATTCCCCAAAGGACACTTCCAAACACTCCCTCTTTGTTTGTAGAGGTTAGTGATTTGCTGAAAGCAAAGGCAAGCTAGCCTTTTTAGTGTCTCTTGTAATTAGGGTCTTTTATAGCATACAATGGAGACGCACGGACACACAGTGGAAAACCTGAGCCGTTGGACCCTGGCCCTCCCGGGTGGGTCTGGCTGAAGGCTTACGAAGAGAATAGCAGAGATAAGACCCTTCGTCTCAACTCCACCCAAGAGTCAATGGTCAAGTACAGTTACTCCAGCCTTCACTAGTGGAACCAGGAGGAAACTAAAGGGGACCCCCCCCATTTTTTTAACCTTTTAATCTTCCTCCCTGCCTCCCTTCTTCCTTAATGGCTAACCCTCCCACAACTTGTTACCCAAGTTGTGAAATCCTCAGAACATATCTACCTTAGAATTCAAACAGTAGTTGAAAAACAATTTCTCCTCTAGGGTTACTGAAATTTTAGGTACTTCTTTGTAGAAATGTTTGGAGGTTTTTTTTGTTGTTTTTTTTTTTAAGTATATTATTAAAGAGGACATTCTAGGAAATAGGGGTTCGTTTCCAAATGCCTTAATTTTAAATTTTAGCCTGAGCAGTTTTTTTTTTTCTTCTTTTTTAGTGGAAGGAGGTCTTTGAGCTCTAAACAATACATCCAGTTAGGAAACACACTACGTGCTCTGGCCATCTCTCAGTTTAGAGGACTCTGAAACTCTGACGTATTCTTCAGATTTCCTAGAAGCTGAAATGTCTTCTCTAAAAACTATTTTCATCTCCTAAATATTCTATAGTGGAAGCGTTTAACCATAGAGAAAGATCGTTAAATTATTTATAAAATATTTTAAAACTACCTATAGTTGGTACTTTACCTAGAAATAACTCTGGTCACAGTGCCTACATTTTCACATGATCACGTCTAAATAGATATTTAATTTAAAATTTTTCTGAAGAGATGCCTGTTTGACTTCAGTGTAGCCCAAACTTTTCTTTTTGTATATGCAAAAGCCCTTTGAAGGTATAGGTAACACTGCTCCCTTCCTGCTGAGCCTTTGCCTGGCTCATGAGGGGTCTAGAATGATCTCTTCCTTGACAAGCTATCCTTTTAAAATCACACTCTATCCTCCTATAGAGAGGACCATGCCCTGTAATGAAATGTTTAATCCTCTGTCTTAATGGAAGATGGATGTTTTATGGCATTTTTCCAACAACTATTCCCCACCATTCTTTTGAAGAAAAATAGGAAGAATGATGCTTTCTAATTCAGAAGAGGCTGTATTCATTATTCTTATAAAGAACAGACAAACTTGGCCTTGCTACAGATTCTGCTTTTTATTTGAATTGCTGAAATAATCATCTTTGATAGAAGAATCACAGAAGAACGTGTTTATATTTAGCTTATTGGCACGTGGGCACACCTATTTTCACTTCAAACGAACAGGTTCTTACGCTGGTGCACATCACCTTGGTCTTGACTCCTCCATATTTCACTGAACTTGAACTCTTCAGACTTGCCAATAAAAATCACATTTACATGTTTCCTTCCTTCATTCCTCCCAGGGAATCACATGATCCACAACTTTTAGATCTTTGAAAACGTTCTAGAACGAGGGCCATCTCCTCCTGGGAGGAGATTTGGGGGGGCTACCCACGACTCAATCTTCCCTGCCAGAAGAAAACAGAGATTACAAGTCAGAGGATTCTGGCCAAAGCAGCTTTTGTGTGTGTCCGGGACTGGCTACATAATTTGCAGAGCCCAGTGCAAAATGAAAACGTGCAGGCCTGCCATTCCAAAATTGTTAAGAAGCTCAAGACAGCGAGAGAGCACGGAACCAAGCCCAGGGCTAGACTGGTCACAAGCCCATGAAGCTGAAACTGTATATATCTGAATAATGGCTTTGGTGCTCGCTTTTCCATTTGGACTATGTGCGAGTTCCGATAAAGTGCCCAGATCAAAATGTTATTTCTGTTCTAATTAAAATACCTCATCTCTATGGCTGTACATTAGGACTTCAAACACTGGCCCATTGTTTTGGACTGGAACCATGGCCACTAAAAGTAGCACAAAGCAGGTGTTCAAGCTCTAGCCCTGTAGGACTGTATTTGACTAGCTTTGGTGAAAGTGTGAGGGAGTGGAGACATTATAGATAAAGTATGGAAACCCTGAGAGAAAACTCTTGACTTTTAAAAAAATATTAAGTATATATTTTACAGGAGATGAATTATTTTTTTAAAGAAAGATTAGATATAGGAAATCTGCAGGAAAATTTGGAGGCTGTGAGTTCTTTGTAAATGGAACATATTTTTGGAAATGAGCCAAAAATGATTGAGGAAGTAAATTTCTGGAGCAAATTCTGGCATTTGGTAAACCTAGGCTCTGTTTGCCACAGCCATGAAATAAATTGCCAATTGTGTTTTATGATACAAAGAAAAAAATGGGGTGATTTTTAAGGGTTCTGCTATCTTATTTCTGTTTAACCCAACCTAAAAATTCCAGTTAATAAATGTGGTTCTAGTCTGTGTTCTTGTCTGCGTACTTGTCTGCATATTTGCAAAGACTCATTTTTAGGACAGATGCTGGGCAAACCTAGGGCATGCTACTTGGCAAACACACTCATTCAGAAAGTTGAGACATTCCCTCTTCTGGATGGTCTAGGTCTCCCCAATTGTATTTGCGTCTTAATTGTTGAATGTAAATTCAAATGAAAGAATTGACTTCTTGTGTTCTCTGTACACATCTTTTAAATTTCTGAAAGGCCAGAGATTCCTGAGAGTCAAATTCTTTAAGAAACCCATGGTGTTCCCACAACATACTAGTCTCTGTGCTAAGGACTGGGAATTTGACTATAGAACAAAATCAACCCAGCCTCAGTCCTTCCAGGGTCTATAGTTTGCTGGCAATAGCAGACACTTCAAAATGAGGAGGGTCCTCTTGTGGGTTGAAATGTGTCCCCCCAAAAGATATGAAGTCCGAACCCCTGGTATCTGTGAATGCAATTTTATTTGGAAATAGGTTCTACAGATGTAGTAAAGTTAAAATAAGTTCATAGCAGTGGGCCCTGACCCAACATGACTGGTACACTTAAAAGAGACTGTAACAGAGGTAGAGAACATAGTGTCTTAAGCCAAAGAACACCTGAGGCTACTGGAAGCTGGAAGAGATAAGGACAGAAACAAGGAAGCTGGAAGGGACAAGGACAGAAACAAAGCGCCCTCCCCTAGAAGCTTCCAAGGGAACACGGCCCTGCCAACCCCTTGACTTCACCTTTCTAGCCTCTAGAACTGTGAGAGAATAAACTTCCACTGTTTGGAGTCACTCAATTCGTGATATTTTGTTATGACATTCCTAGGAAACTAACAGAGTGTCAACAATCATCAGTTTTGTAGGGGTTTCTTTTTTCGGGGCCAGGGGGGTAGAGACACTTTATGTAAGTAAACTTGATATTTGATATTCTCTGCTGTTACCAAAAAGATTCAACTTCAGGCAAAATACGTGACAAAGTGTGAATATACTTAATATATAAAAAGCATTAATAATTCAATAAGTAAAAAATAAGCACCTTATCGGAAAAAATATTGAATTCACAAAAAAAATGCACGTGGCCAATTAGCATATGACTGTGGACCCCAAATCACTGTGGATTAAACAAATGCAAATTAAGATAACTTGAGTTTCTTTTCACCATCAGATTAACAAAGATCGGCAAAGCCCAGAGTTGATGATACTTGGGGAGAAAGAAAGCTCTATCACACTGTTGAAAGCAGAGCAAGTTGATAAATTTATGCATGGCATTTTGTCAAATTTTATCAAAATTAAGAAGATATCTATTTTCCGGCCCACCAAGTCCACATCCAAGAAGTTATCCTTTAGCAATTATTGGACAAATGTGCAAAGACTTAGAGGCAGAACTAGTTACCAGCCTTCTCTGTAATACAACCCCAAACTGCAAACAGCCTGAAAGTCCCTCAATAGGGGATTGGTTAATTAAGTCACATTCATACAACGGACTACAGTGAAGACCCTGAAAAGATAAGATAGATGAAAATTTATTGACATCCATGTAGATCTACGATCTACTGAGGAGTGAAACAAGGTGGTTATAGGCCAGTATTACAGTACAGTCCTAATCAAGTAAAAATGGAAGTTTGTAGCAACATTAAAAGGCTGGGAGAATATATTCACACCAAACTGTCAATAGTGATTTTTTTTTTTTTGACCTTGTGTTTTTTTTCTTTTTCTCTTGAGCGTGACTTGATAGTATTTGAATTTTTAATTTTTTTTAAATTTTATTTATTTATTTCACAGACGGAGATCACAAGTAGGCAGAGAGGCAGGCAGAGAGAGAGGAGGAAGCAGGCTCCCCGCTGAGCAGAGAGCCCGATGTAGGGCTCGATCCCAGGACCCTGGGGTCATGACCTGAGCCGAAGGCAGAGGCTTTAACCCACTGAGCCACCCAGGCGCCCCTGAATTTTTAAAAATGGGGGAGAAAAAGTCTTTTAATTTTGGAAAAACAATACAATCTGCATAATAATCCTGCCTTTTCGCTTATACCAAGCCTCACTAAAAGCTCAGAAAATGTTCTCAAAAGAAAAAAAAAAATCATGTGAAATCAATAATTATCAAATGGTAATGTCCGAGCTGTTGTCAGAACCTTCTGGCATATAAATGACTATGTCAAGGTTTCCTGCCTCACTGTGATCTTTTGCCCCTGTGCCCACACCGAACCCTCTAACTCACAGGTGAGGTCCCCCTTGGAGGTGCAAACCACCTCATTTTCCCTTCTCAGGAGTGTCAAATTTTTTTTCTATACATGCACTCATTAGTACAAGTCAAATCTCCCTGCCTGCTCCTTTGTAGGACTTTTTCCTTCTGGGACCCAGCCTCTGGGTCTGGGTTCAGAATGCACAGGTCACCTGATTGGGAGGATATAACAGGGACAGGGGCACGGCCAGGAATACAGAATCCATTGGCAGCCCCCCAGCGACACTTCTCGGACCTCACAGCAGA